GGCCGACTGCCCCTACTGGAGCCATCGGGTCTCCGGGCATGTTTCGGGCCGGTGTTAGACCGGTATTAGAAAGTGATTTGCACGTGTTTAGTCCTGGGAGGGAGAGAGGCGGCAGAAACGAGCGGGAGCGAAGACAGCAGAGAAGACAAGGAACAGTCTTCGACCAGAAAACAACCAACTAAAACATGAGGATCCAAAACGCTCAAGGGACGTTGCTAAAAACGCCAAAACACCGTCTCGTCGTTTTAGCAGTCATGGCTTGTCACGAGCCAAGACGGTAAGACCAAATGCAGGGCGCTTCTACGAAAGAAGAACCAAGCGCAAGAGGGCACCGACAGGACTTCTTTGTTTGCCGTTGGGCAGGCTTACGCGTCAAGGCTTCGCAGGACTCCTCTTCCTTCTCCTCCTCCTCCTCCTCCTCCTCCTCCTGATCTCATCCCTCTCCTCCTCCTCCTCCTCCTCCTCCCTTCCTCCACCAGATGTTCTTCCGAAGGGTTCCACAACTGCTGGGAGAACACTCGTCTTATAGCTTGGCCAGACTTTGGCCCAACGTTTGGCCATATCGGCGTTTGCAGCGAGGCAGGGGACGGCAGTGTTTCGCCGCAGGCGTCTTCGGTACCTTACACAAGAGTCAGATGAACGCGCGCGACTGTGACATCTATTCAGATATATACATATACATATACATCCATGTATCGTCATCATCATCATCATCATCATCATCATCATCATCATCATCATCATCATCATCACCATCACCATCACCATCACCATCATCATCATCATCATCATCATCATCATCATCATCATCATCATCATCATCATCATCATGATGATCATCATCTTCATCATCATCATCATCATCATCAGTTCTGGCCTCACTTGTCGCTTGAGGTCTGATTGCCAATTCATGCTGCCCCTCGATCTGTACATGCCATCCGACCCAGGCACCAAACCTCCACCTGCGCGATACTCGATTGGGCTTGCCCACCTAGCGATACCATCGTATTGCGTAGCTGTGGCGGCATGTCCTGAGCTCTGTCGTTAGCTTTCTGCAGAATGTGTCGCAGCCGGACCGATCTCAGGTATCACGAGGAGGCAGGAGGACGAATAAGACAACGAGGAAGCAGCATGATGAGTCGAAAGAATTCTCTGGAGGTCTCCGGATGTCCCCAGAGGCCTCCAACACTCTTGGGGACCTGGTCCAGTCGCCCGAGACATCCTCGGAGAACGAACCGAGCCCCAAAACCGTGCGGTGACCTCGAACCCCTACTGACTCACCACACGGTATGGCCACCGCACCGTCTGGGGGGCCACCGAAGGTCGTCGGTCGTCCGCCGAGGGCTCCTGTGGCCTAACATGAGCGAAAACGAAACAGCCTGGAAATCTCGACCCCCTCCAGGCCAGGGAGGCCAGGGCCTGCCCAGCGAGCCCTCCTGAACCCTTCCCTGCGTCCATCCCACGCAACCTTTCGAGACGTATCTGGCCGTTGGCGCCGAAGAACACTCAACACGACGACGTCGACCTGATACGAAGGAAGCGGGTCCTGGAAGAAACCAAGACCAAATTTGAATCCCAAGACCAAGACCAGGTTTGCATCTGGAGCCGTGTTCTACCCGTCCTGGGGCCCAGGAAGGTCCCTCGTTTTCGAAAACGGCCAGAAGCCTCCAGGACCCGATTCCTGCCCCCGAGATGCGACGTGAAGAAACAAAAACACAACACCGCAGAACATTACGACCAGAGCCCCAGACGGCATCCTCATGCGGCACTCATCCGTGGTGGTCCTGGGGCCTGCGCCCTGGCGAAAACCCCCGGTTAAAAAAAAACAGCGCCCGGATCTCGAGTCAAACTACGAGAACTTCGCACGTGCTCCGTACCATGCTGCTTAGACGCCCTGCGGGCCCCGCCACAAACCGGTACGTGCAAAATGGTTCGGCTCCGAGGGCCAGAAAACTATACACCGTACCATGCTAGATCGAATATCGACGATGCCTCGCGAGACGACAACGCGGTACGGAACACACAAGCCGCCCGCGGACAGCCCCCCCCCCACCAGGTGGTCTTGCCGTCGGACAGCAGGTACGGCGCGGCATGTACCCAGGTGGCCTGCTGCTGCAGGGCCTGGCGGCGACTTGAGAAGGGGACGATAATGGCGTCGTGATGCGATTGGCGCAAGTCACGTTCCAAGAACCCCATGAATTATCTAGCGGTCCACGTTGCTATTCAGGCCCCGGAGGGAGGAGGGGGGCAGGGGGCTGACGCCATTCAGGCCCGGGAAGGAGGAGGGGGGTGGGGCTGACGCCATTCAGGCCCGGGAGGGAGGAGGGGGGGAGGCTTCGCTCTGTCTGTCGGGGCGGGGGGGCTGACGCCATTCAGGCACGGGAGGGAGAGGAGGGAGGGGGGGGGGGCTGACGCCATTCAGGCCTGGGAGGGACGAGGGGGGGGGGAGGCTTCGCTCTGTCGGGGGGGGGGGGGGGGGGCTGACGCCATTCAGGCCCGGGAGGGAGGGGGGGGGGGGGCTGACGCCATTCAGGCACGGAACGGGGGGGGGGAACGCCATGGGGAGGAGGGAAAGGAGGGGAGGGGGGGGAGGGGGGGGCTGACGCCATTCGGGCCTGGGAGGGACGAGGGGGGGGGGTCGCCCTGTCGGGGGGAGGGGGCTGACGCCATTCAGGCACGGGAGGGAGGGGGGGGAAAGGGGGAACGCCATGGGCAGGCGAGGGGGGGATGGGGGGGACCGGGACGCCATGGCTGACGCCATTCAGGCCCGGGAGGAGGAAGTCGGGGAGAGGGGAGAGGGGGGAGCTGACGTCATGGCTGACGCCATTCAGGCCCGGGAGGGGGATCTGGAGGGGGGGGGGGAAGGCCCGGAAGGCGGGAGGGGATATCCCATGAGTTTGGCTGTTCACGCGAGATCGTCACTTTCGCATATCCGACGGTTGCCTAAGCGAGTTAAACATCTCTATCTTATGAGGATGTCTCGAGCGAGTGCTCTTTTTTTAAGCATAAAAGATTAGCCGTTGCAAGCAGAATCGGTAGCACCCCGGATCGGCGGCACTGGCCGGAGGCCACTACAATCAGGAGAGAATGGAGCTCCGGAAGCCTAGGAAATCGTGGGACGTGTCATTACCATTACCTCTTGCTCCTGTGAGAGATGGGTAACGCTCCGCGAGCAGTGAGGCGGTGCACTTCGAACCTGGGCCACCTCACTTGGCGCATCGCGCTGCATACATGTCAATCGCTGGCCACAAATCCTAATGGAAGCTGAGCGGCGCCCGGGCGGGCCAATTCTGACCACGTCGACAGCAAAATTGAAAACCGACCGCACCGAAAAGGAAAATGAAACCGACAGCAACTGAAAGGCCGCGATCAGCCTGGACGGGCGCAGCGACGCAACAACGACCGACCGATCCGAACCCACCAAGCGCAACCAATTGCGACGCAATCGAACCGACAGAACCGAGGACACCCTTGTGAGCGGAGTGCTGCTTCCCCTCTCGAACCTCCGATTCCGCCGCCCTTCAAGCTGGCAGAGCGGCGCAATACACCTTCCACCCTGTTCTACTCATCTCAAACAAAAGCTATGAAGGTATGCACTGCCCTAATATTATGTGATGAGCATTGGGATGCAGATGCATAGTTCGGGGAACACATGAGGACTAATGAAGTCATGGGGGCACATGAGGATAAACCAACTAGCTGATTGAACCATGGGAGAAGCCATAATAGCCTGAAGAATGTCCAAGACCGTGCAAGGGCACACTGGGACCCACGCCTGGGACACTGATATCTCCACTCGCAGCTAATAGTTGAATGCATCGGAGCACGTTGGAACATTACTTGACACGAGAGGAGCCACAAAATGGTCCAACATTGTCCCAAAACGGCCCACGAGTGCCTCAAGACGTCAGACGAGACCCTCAAGACGGCCCAAGAGGGTCCCACAATGACTCCAAGAGGTTCCGAACAAGGTGAAACTAGTGATGGCCCTCACGTGCCTGTTCGGGCTTCTGCCGGCCCAAGACGACCCACGAGGCTTCCATTGGGGCTCAAGATGCTGTTATGAAAGCCCAAGGGGCCTTCAATGTCCCCAACACGAACCCAGGATTCACCGCGACGTCTCATCAAGCCCCCAAGGCGACCTTTCAGGGTCGCAATACGGCCTCAAGACGGCCCAGAGGCTCACGAGATGGACTCCGAAGGCGCCAGACTTACAAATAGCGCCCCACGACAGCCCAAAGAGGCCCCAATAGGCCCTGAAGAAGCCCCCGAGAGGTCCCGACGAGGCGCCGAAAGAGGAGGGAGGACGAGGAAAAGGATAATACGATGACGAACACGAACGCTGGCACATACAAGCGCAGACAGCTGGATGCACCATGACTCATGAAAAAGATGCCCACATGTATAATCGCGATGCTGTGTACGGCTTTCCACACAATTGGGGCCTCCCTGAGGCCGTCTGACACCTCGAAGCCCCGAGATCTTCCAGAAGCCTAGGCCGTCACGGTAGCACGGCAGACCAACACTGTAGACCAACAGGGCAGGCCATCACACCAGACGAGCATGGTACCTGAGCGTGCTAGGCCAGCGTGTGGCACCCGACCAGCACAGCAGACCGAGGTCCCGTCCTGGGCCGACGCGGAATACCTTGAGAATTCGAGGGGTCGGCTTGCAAGCTCTTTCGGGCAATCTTGGGGGTCGCGTTGGAGCCTTTAAGGTATTCCTGGGCCCTCTCGGGCCATCTTGGCGCGTCTTGGGGTCCTTTTGGGGCTCTCTTGAGCCGTCTCGGCGCTTTGGATAGTTCTTCAGTCGTCCAGAGAGAAAACGGAGACGGATGTTGCAGGAAGGGTCGGTGCAGTGCCAGTGCCACTCTGCGGCAGTGTCTTCCCTGGCAGTCACTCAACGATTGAGGCCAACCATCATCGCGGACACCATCGAAACGCGAATGCCCAACTCGTCAGCATCACGCGCGGTGCATGTGCTGTTTGGCCGCCTCATGGTCAGGGAACTCGAACTCCTCTGCCTGCGAATAGCGGGGACAGTGAGACTGCGATTGCAACCAAGACATAATTCGAGGGGCAGAAGGACGAAGAACAGCGGGTGAAGGAGCGGGAAAAGGCAACGATGAACACGTCGTTCTTGGCCAAACCCCTCCACACGTCTGTTTGGCCAGAGCTGGAACATCGACATTCGCAAATACATGAATCCAACTGGAATGGAACACAGATGACTATCATTTCACTTCGTCTCCTCCCCCATCTTCGTACTGTCTGATGTCCGCATCGTTCTCTCCTCCATCTCGTCGTCCGCCTCGTCGTCGTCGTCCTCCATCTCTTTCCTCCCCTCGCCTCCCCCTCACTTCCCTCCTTCTCCTCCTCCTCCTCCTCCTCCTCCTCAAGCGTCCTAAGGCTTCCTGTGTCATCGGCACTCTGGCAATCCAAGAAATTCTGATCAATACCGAGTCCAATCACATCGGGACGGGGCAACAACAATTGGCGATTTAACTGTCAAATTATCTGCCTGGGTGCGCCGATGCGTTGCTCCGAATCCATGCTGCTCAAACCATCCGGCCATCTGCCGGAAAAGAGATTCCAATATTGCAGCTTCATGTGAGGCCATCTATGCCGCTCCCCCTGCAGCCCCCCGTCCGGCCGCCCCTCCCTGCCCAGGTGTCAGAAGCGTCATACTTTCCTCTGATAGGGGGGTATTGACTGCCTTCTAGGGTGAAAGGAGTTGAAGACATCATAACATAAACTTTCGAGGATCGGCGTTGGGGCCCTCCCTGGACGGCGCTGGAGGTACCACCGGGGGGGGCCAACGCACATCCAAGAGATCCCCGCAACCTTCGGAATGCTCTCTTCATGCATGTTCCCTGTTGGGTCCTCGTTTCGAATCTGCAGCGCCCCGCGTCGCTCACTCCTTCCTCCTCCCGCTCCTCCCTCGTCCCCTCCCTGCCTCTGAAATGCGAATGCACATTTCGGCACACCCCTCACGCGCTTCGTGGCCCCGTAAGGAGATCCACCGGAGGCCGAAATGGCAAAGTCGCAAGGCGGCCCTGTTCCACTTCGGCGCACCCCCCACACGCCTGGTCGCCTCAAGCGAGCTCCACCGAAGACCACAGTGGTAAAGTCCGCATGGCGGCCCCATGTCGCAGCACCCCTCACACGCTTCGTTATCCCATAGGGAGCTCCACCGAAGGCCCTAGTGGCAAAGTCCGCATGTCGGCCACGCCCCATTTCGGCGCACAACTCACGCGCTTCGCGGCACCAGGAAGAGTTCCACCAAAGACCCTGGTGGCAAATTCCGCATGGCGTCCTCATGTCGGAGCATGCCTCAGACGCTTCGTTACCCCGTAGGCCATAGGGAACTCAGCCGAAGGCCCCAGTGGCAAAGACAGCACGGCGGCCCCGCCCAATTTCGGTGCACCGCTCACACGTTTCGCGGTCCCATGGGGAGCTCTACCGAAGGCCCCAGTGGCAAAGTACGCACCCCATGCTAGTGCACCCCTCACATGCTTCTTTACCACATAGAGAGATGCACTGAAGGCCGCAATGGCAAAGTCCGCGTGGCAGTTCCACCACATGTCGGCACTCACTTCACACGTGTCGGGGCCTCATAAGCAGCTCCACCGAAAGCCCCAGTGGCAAAGTTTGTACGCCGACACCTCGCAATTTTGGCGCACCGCTCACACGATCCGTTCCCTTCCTTCGTATCACTTGCCTTGCAGCACTAGCACCTGCATATGATTGGGCGTTTCGCCAGGATCATGTTCATCTGCGGCGCAGCCCCGGCGCCTCACTCGGCGGTGTTGGGCCCTGTGACCTCCTCCTGCCCAATTCATAAATCCCTGCGATCTGGGCATATGCGGCATGGCATGTGCTTCGCACTTGGAAAGTTCGACCAGTTTCGGGTCCCCGGGGAAGTCGATTTGGTTTTGGAAAATGCGACATTCGGGTCGGGCGAAAGGGGGGGTAGCAAAGGGGGAGTTTGAGAATCAGCTCACGTAGCTGATTTTCCCGGCGCCTCCCGGCGCCGGAGGCGGCCATGTATCGAGGAATGGGGCCCTCGGTGAGGCCGAAACCAGCTGCATGCAGCAAATTTCGTAACCCCCCTTTCCCAATCCCCCCCTTTCGCCCGGCCCGAGACATAATGATTGGGTACGGGGCTCTGGTCGTGACTCTTCGCGATGTTTCATTTTGCACGACGTCAGATCTCAGCTCTTCCTGTCCCGTGCCAGCCCACTGGCCTGGCGTCCCCTAACATAACCTCCCCACTCTAATTCCGGCGGGTGCCTCTTTCAGCTTGTTCTTCACCTCCGACTCCTCGTCCACCTCGTAGAAGCCAGACGGTGCCAGCGTGCCTGATCGAAAGGCCGAGGATCTCAAGGAGAAGGAGTACGAGAGAGACGGGTAGGAAGGAGCACTAGCAGCAGTGGAGGGACTGGCCAAAGAAAATCAACACCCGAAACATTTCCGAATTCAACTCCGTCGCGAGGATCCGGGATTGATTATAGAGGAAGGATGAGAGCACGGAGGGTGGGGTGATTGGAGGGTGGGGTGGAGAAGGGCGAGCATCAGCAACTGGAGGGAGGAAGAGAGATGGCACGAAAGCAAGAAAAAAACAGTAAGGAGGAAAGGATAGACCCGTGCGCTCACTGTGCCCAAATCTCCTGCGAGATCGGAACAAAGGCATCGATTCGAACATGCCGCACTCTGGCCGAGGCTGATGCCTGTCATGCCAAGTCCGCTTGAGGAAACATCGAAGCACGCTACTTGTCTCGCACCGAGGGCACCGCAGGCGGGGCCGTCTCGTTCTGCAATACTGATCGTTCAGACTTCTGAAGAACACGGCGTCCAAATCGAGTTGTCCCTCGAAGAACTGTGGCACATGGCAAGATCTGGCAATCTCAAAATCGGGAAATCGGATGGGATCGGAACGTGCAAGGAATCCGGCCGAATCAACACTGAGTCGGAATCGAATCGGATCGGCTGCGCCAAGATGCACAACAGCGCCCTGCAACCGTCGGGCCGCATCGGATCGCCCGAGCATCGAAATCGAATCGAATCGGGTCGGCTGGAGCCGAGATCGAGTCGGATCGATCGGATCGACATGGACCCTGCTTGGTGGGGCAATTCAAGAGGGGGTTCATGAGTCGGGGGAAAGGATTTAGGATCGCGATGGTGCTGGTGAGTTGCACATTAGCTCCGCCTCATATTGCATTGAAGCGTTTTTTTTACACAGAGACCACGTGATTACTTGGTTAGTGAGGGCGTGTGGACATGCGTGGAAATCCGATCACACCATGGTTTCTCGCATATCGGCATACGAATTATTTTTTACGCGGGGTTGGGTCGCTTCGTTCTGGCAATCCTGGCGATTTGACTACTCTTCGACGCACGAGCAAGGATACAGTGCGTGCCAATAGTGAACCGGACGACAGACGACATGGTGATTTTTAATGCCGATCTCTCAGCCTGTCTGGCTAGAACGCTATGTTGTCACTGACAGTTCCGCATCTGCCCACGACACTATGTTTGGCCTGCCTGCCGCAAGGAAGCCCGATCGCCCCACGAGCGGCCAACGTGTATGAAAGTGCCATTGGGCACAAGGTCCTGTCGGGCTTGACAGTGCCAGCTTTGCACCTGCTGTCGACTGCACTGAAAAGCTGACGAACACCTGCTTGGAGTGGCGGCGGTCTGGGCGTTCAGAAGACATTCTGGCTTGGACGTTGCAGAAATGGTTGCGCCTCCCTCAAATCGGGTGATGCCATATCTGTAGGCTAACAAGTGATGCAGTTCGGGTGTGTCTAGCAATTGTACATCCTGCAGCTACGCTGTCGAAGAAATTATGTCTGCTACGCCTGTTCGCCTTGGCCGCTTAGCGTCTGCCATGTCGTATGACCGCAACTGTGAGAGGCAAGGCAATCTGACGGGTCATCAGGAATAGACCCTCGACGGCGACGTGAGTTCAAGCGCACAAGACGTACGTGGTTTCTCGGGTATGTGCGGCCAACTCGTTGCCGCAAGATGCGCCACTGAACTTGCAGAGCGTGTTGCAAAACATCAGAACTTGCTTGCTGTTCCTCGGCGTCCATTCGCTCGCGGATCGATTCCGCAACCTCCACGTCGAGCTTGAGAAAGTGGCTACGTTGATATCTGCTCCGCAGAGGCACTTCGCTTCAATCGGCCTCTCCAATCTCCTCTGAGTGGCCCGCTGCCCCACGCAGTCCCCGACATGGCGCTGTTCTGCGGAGTATTTGGTGACCAGCACTCCTCGCTCAAGAGATGGCACCTCAGCGATGGCGTAGATGTCACGTGGACTGCCCTTTGGCGCTTGGCGAAATGCGCTACCGCGGCGGTTCTTATCATTCGACAGATTCTGCAACATGCCCTCTCCCCTTCATCCACGTTCCTTTTCCTCCTCATCCTCCTCCACCCCCATCTCCCCCCTTCCTCTCTATCATCTCCCCCATCTCCTCCCCTCATCCTGCCCCCCTCTCCACTTCTGACTGTCATATTCTCCTCTCCTCCTACCCCGCCCCTCCTCCAAATCCTCCTTGCCCTCCGCCTCGTACCCTTCCTCCTGCTCGTCTGGAGATCTCCTGGCGAACACGTTTCTTGACTTTTTCCTGGGTGCCCTCCCAAAGGTCTTGCTGGGACTTGTCCAGGGAGGCCTCTCAGGGCGGCACTCCTCCTCTCTCACCACTGCCTTATCATCCCGTCGTCTCCCTCACCCCCCTCCTCCCTCCCCATCCTCCCTGTTTCTTCTGCTGTGAGGGCCATCTTCCCTTGGCACACGTGCAGACTGCTGAGTTCCCCTGGGAATCTGAAGTCATCTTCAGCCAATCGGTGTCATGCTTCAACTGCCTCCCAGCATCCCTCCTCCCTCCATTCTGCCATTCCTCGCCAACGCCTCCACCACAACTGGCCACATTACCAAGCACTTCTTCCCTTACCACGCCTCCTTGCTCAAGCCTTCCCGCCTGCGTCCGTATCAGCCTCTGCCACCAAAGCCTCCTCCCCCCTCTCCGCCACCACCTCACTCACCTCCGCCTCTCTCCTCCCGCCCTGTCCCGCCCTGTGGTCTCTTTGGTTCCAAGTTTATTGCAGTGTCGCGTCTTCCCACTAACTTGTATCCGCACCCTCTCCGCTTCTCCGTGTCCCTCCCCTCCTCATCGCAGACCCCAGGCCCTCCCCATGGCCGACGCCCCCTTCTGCTTATGATCCGTGTCCTGTGTCCCCTCCCCCATGTGCCCTCCCGTCCCCTCTCTCCGCGGCCGCTTCTCTTCAATCGCCCGGGCCTCCCCTCTGCGTGGCTCGACCGCGGTGCGATCGCTCCACCCCACCACCGCAGACAAACAAAAGTACCCCTCCTCCCATGCTGAGGGGAACTTTAGGAGGGGACCAGCTCAAGGGGGGGGGGGGGCACCATCGATCTCGAACCAGCGATACATCGCCGCGGGATCGGCGATAGGCCCCCGATAGCGAATCTGCACGATCCTGGGCGGGGTGAGCTCCGGGGCAGGATCACTGGGCGATGTGGAGACGACGCGTCCCCCTGACGTTGCCCCTGATGATCCCTCCGTGCCTCCCTCCTGCCATCACCTTGGGAGGGCAGGGGGGCGGGGCTGCATGTAGCTGTGATGCGGGCGATCTGCGACCGCAGCAGGTGCCGCTCCTGTGGAGTCAGTGGGGGGGGGCGCGTAGGACCTGCCGTTCGCGTGATTATGCGCAAGACATGCAACGGTTGTGGCATCTAGAAAATTAAACTGGCTTGCGCGACGATTCCTGGAGAAGCCGATGTCCATGATCACTTGCATCGTAAAACTTCCAAGGCGCCAACACAATGAACACCAGTTTGAATTTGAAGTGTAGGGGATCTGCGGTGGCCTCCACAATGAAATGCTTTTGTAGCAGTCTGCCTGCAGTACAAAGGGGTTCCTTTTTGCCATCGCTGGGGATCTGCATTGGTGGCGCCGTGAGCTCAGAAAAGCTGGAGAGGACAACCAAAACAACAGACACAACAGGGAGACACCGGTGCTTTCACTAAGAACGTCAGGGACAACTGAACAGCACCTGCGACTATCGCTTCTCTTATGGTGCAGATGCGCCCGAATAACAAAAAACTTGTATAAGACTTTGCAAGAGGAGTTTCGTTTGCGGCAAGCTCACAAGATATTAGACTTGTTGAGGACCTGCAGTGGCCTCCACACGTGCAATCCGCCGACCCCTTGTGGGTCCCTAGGCGTGTGGCATGATTATCTTGCACAGCTGTACCCTAGAGTTCGGACATCTTTATTTTCGTCGTGGTTCGTGGTTCGTGGTGGTTCGTCCCCCTCGGCCCCTCCCCTGAGCCTGAGCCCCAGCTCCCCTGGGCCACCCACCCTTCGGAGGCTTGCTCCGTCCAGGCTTCCCAGGGCAGCCCCCCTGGGCCGCGGACATCCTTCTTTTCGTCGTGGTTCGTGGTTCGTGGTGGTTCGTCCCCCTCGGCACAGTTGTGCTCTAGAGCTCGGACATCGTTATTTTCGTCGTGGTTCGTGGTTCGTGGTGGTTCGTTCCCCTCGGCCCCTCCCCTGAGCCTGAGCCCCAGCTCCCCTGGGCCACCCACCCTTCGGAGGCTTGCTCCGTCCAGGCTTCCCAGGGCAGCCCCCCTGGGCCGCGGACATCCTTCTTTTCGTCGTGGTTCGTGGTTCGTCGTGGTTCTCCCCTGAGCCTGAGCCCCAGCTCAACTGGGCCACCCCCCCTTGGGACCCCCCCTCCGTCCAGGCTTCCCAGGGCAGCCCCCCTGGGCCGCAGATGTGCCCTAGAGCTCGGACATCTTTCTTTTCGTCGTGGTTCGTGGTTCGTGGTGGTTCGTCCCCCTCGGCCCCTCCCCTGAGCCTGAGCCCCAGCTCCCCTGGGCCACCCACCCTTCGGAGGCTTGCTCCGTCCAGGCTTCCCAGGGCAGCCCTCCTGGGCCGCGGACATCCCTATTTTCGTCGTGGTTTGTGGTTCGTGGTGATTCGTCCCCCTCGGCCCCTCCCCTGAGCCTGAGCCCCAACTCCCCTGGGCCACCCCCCCTTGGGACCCCCCCTCCGTCCAGGCTTCCCAGGGCAGACCCCCTGGGCCGCGGATATCCTTCTTTTCGTCGTGGTTCGTGGTTCGTCGTGGTTCTCCCCTGAGCCTAAGCCCCAGCTCCCCTGGGCCATCCCCCCTTGGGACCCCCCCTCCGTCCAGGCTTCCCAGGACAGCCCCCCTGGGCCGCAGCTGTGCCCTAGAGCTCGGACATCTTTATGTTCGTCGTGGTTCGTGGTTCGTGGTGGTTCGTCCCCCTCGGCCCCTCCCCTGAGCCTGAGCCCCAGCTCCCCGGGGCCACCCACCCTTCGGAGGCTTGCTCCGTCCAGGCTTCCCAGGACAGCCCTCCTGGGCCGCGGACATCCCTATTTTCGTCGTGGCCTGTGTTTCGTGGTGGTTCGTCCCCCTCGGCCCCTCCCCTGAGCCTGAGCCCCAGCTCCCCTGGGCCACCCCCCCCTTGGGACCCCCCCTCCGTCCAGGCTTCCCAGGGCAGCCCCCCTGGGCCGCGGAACCATTTATTTTCGTCCTGTCCATACCGCAAACCTGCGCCCGACAACCCAGAGGCTCTTTCAGACCCCAACCTCATGGAAACCGACTTCGGGATAAACAGTTTAACATTTACACCGACTGGACCCCCTCCTGGAAGAAGGGGGCGCGGGCCTCCAGTCCTTCGCAGTTCCTTTGTGCAAGAGCCAGGGCACACGTGCCACTTTTTCCTCCCCCATTATCCCCCCCCCCAGGGACCCCAAACAGGGAATGTGACCCTTCCTAGCCCCGGATCCCCCCCAAACGAACGCATCATGGGAGGTAGAGGGCCCACTAACGCGCCAACAGGGCCCTAAGGGGCTCTCAAAACTGGCCCAGAGTCGCCGAAAGATCGCTGCAGAACGTCCGCTCCCGACGGCCGAAGAAACCCCCAAGACTCCCCAGGAAGCCTCCAAGAGGCCTCTCACGAGCACCCCAAGAGGCAATAATCATGTATGGTCCTTGGGTGTTTGATGGTGTCCACATTTCTCGCCTTTTTGGCGTACCGACGCTGCAAAACGGCCCAAGAGACCCCCAAGATGGCCCCAAGACGGCCCAAGAGGCCCGATGGCCCAAGAGGGCCCAAAGACGGCTTCAAGAAGGGCCCTGGGGGGGGGACTACGAACGGGAAAATCTAGCCTTCCGCCTCGAGAGGGCCCCAGGAGACCCCAAGAGCGCCCCACTCAAGAGCCCTCTGACCCATTACCTAAGCACTGTGGCGGGATGGGCCCAAGGCGATTTAATATTCAACGGCTTGGGAGCCCGAAAGGGGCGTTCAGAGGCCGACATCGATGAACAATCTCCTAAGATCGACACTCGGCAAAAGGCTTTTTGTTCCACTTGCCCCTGGGACTCTGGCCGCGGCAGGCGCTCCTCTCCTCCTCCACCTCCCCCTACCCTTCCTCTTCCTTCCCTCCTATTGTTCCTCGACATCGTCCGACGTTTTTCGTTTTCCGTTCCTGCTCAGAGGTACTACCAGAAATGCGCCCCCCATCCCCAACTCGATCAATTATGATGACGACGACGATGATTATGAGTGTGAGAATGGGTATGATTATGGGCATGATTACGCTTATGCTTACGATTATGATGATCTTGACGACGACGATGACGATGACTATGATGCTGAGATGGCTCTATGATGGCGATGATGATGATGATGATGATGATGGTGATGGTGATGGTGATGATGATGATGATGAGGAGGATGAGGATGAGGATGATGAGGATGATGAGGATGATGAGGATGATGAGGATGATGAGGATGATGATGATGATGATGATGATGATGATGATGATGATGATGAGGGATCGGCGAATGTGGCGTAAGCCTGTATGATCATTACGAAGCATCATTTACACAGGAGGTTGTTGTGGCTATCTTTCGACGAACTTTCAAATGTGGGGGTCTGCAGTGGCCTCCGCAACGAATCCTTTGGTATCAGTCTGCGGGAACGGGGTTCCTATTGTGGCGGCCTAGAGTTTCAGTTGAGGGGGATCTGCAGTGGTGGCGCCCTGAGCCCAGGACAGCTAGGAGAGGACAACAGAAAAATACATATCCCTTGACACATGCTGCTAGAACCCGATTCTGAAGTGTGGAGTTCACTGCAGATCCCCCACACTGAAAATCCTGTTGTAAGATCGCCACTTAAGGCAAACCCTGGCAAAGGCTTCTCCGCAATGATAGTCCTTCTCTGGTATCGCCACAACAGGAAACCCTTGTTGTAAAGGCTGCGGCAAAAAAGTTTCAGGTGCGGCGCATCGGCACCATAGACATTGCGACACTCACAAATGCTCTGCAGGTGTTCCACATTCCCTAAATGGGAGCGCGACCCGTGGTCGCCTGAAACTGAAACCCTCTGCAAGGCCGCCACACAGAAAATCCCTTGGCACCGGCTGCTGAAGACACATATCAAAATTATGCAATCCCCCCCACAACTAAACACCTGCTGCAATCTCGCCCTCAACGGAGTCCATATGTAAAGGTCTGCCCCAAAATGATTTCACTTGTGGGGGCCACGGCAGGCCCCCAGCAAATTAAATCCTTCTGCAAGGTCGCCACAAAAGAAACCCGGTTTGCAAAGGCTTGTAGAAGAAGGTTTCAACGGTGGCGCATCTGCACCATAATAATAGCGATCGTCACACAGCTTCCTCGGTTTGCACCACCACTGCAGACCCCCCACAATTGAAACCCTGTGCACGGCCGCCTCCAAGAAAGCCCAAGATCGCTCCACGACGCCCAGGATGGCCCCACGACAGGCCAAGAGGCCCCAAAGAAGCCCCAAGAGCGCTGAAAGAGGACCCCCAAGAGGCCCCTAAGGCAACCCTAAGACCGCCCAAGAGGCCTCCAAGAGGGCCCCAAGACGGCGTAAGAACGCCCCAATACTGCCTCCAAGAGAACCCTAAGACGGCCCCTAAAAAGCCCAAGAGAAGGAACACGAACCGAAGATCCGAGCCTTCCGCCCCAAGATGCTCCCAGAGACCCTGAAGAGTCGCAAAAGAGGCCCAACAGAGGCCCCAAGAGGCCTCACAACGGCCCCCACGAGGCCTCCAAACTGCCTCCCGAGGATCTCCCGAGAGGTCTCCCGCGAGATCCCAACGAACATCCAGTAGGCTTCATACCCACAACGCAGGCACGGTGACGGGATGGGCCGAAGGCCACTAGATAGTCGATCTGGAACCTCCGAAAGAGCACCAGCGTGTTGTGCGCCAAAAGAAAAGAGAAGCTGTGTACAGACGAGTTGGAGGATGAGCTGGAGGATGAGCAGAAGAAGGAGGAAAGATAGGGAAGGAGGATGGGGACGGGGTGGAGGCATGTGAAGGCGGGACGGAAGGGGAGGGGGGGGGCATGCGAGAGGAGGAGAAGCTCTGCGCCAGCCTCGACCCGACCAGAATGCGCCCAGCGTGAGCGCAAGGACGAGCAGGGGAAAGCACGATGGTGGGCGAGCGCAGGAAGCTATCTCCTGCTCTCTCCTCGCTCTTTCCCTCCAGCCCTTCCCTGCCTGTCAAAGCCTTCCGCATTATTGGGGGTGTGTCCTGTCGGCGGTTCCCATGTGGGCTGTCGCCCCCCCCCCCCCCTGGGTGGTGAGAAAAACACCCCGCACAGCCCTCTCGTGGCGGGCTTGGAACCTTCGGCCGACCCGCCTGGGACTGCTGAACACCAAACCGACGACGGGTCTGGTGCCGGGGCTGCAGAGGGCGGTGGAGGGAGAGAAGGAGAGAGGGAGGGAGACGGAAAACAAATAGGGAATGTGGGAGACGGGTGGAGGGTATATGAGGAAGAGGAGAGTGGAAGTCGAATTCGGAGTGGTGAGATCGGACGCGAATGACCACGTCCGATAATGATTACAAAGCGACATATCATGTTGCGCAGCTGCTCTTTACGAATGACGGTATCCTTTCCTCCTGGCAGCAATGCTTTCGTCCTCCCTCCCCCCCCCGCAACGTCTTTGCGCACTGAGGGCTTCAGTGGTGTCATGGAAGGGAGGCAGTCCCCCTACAACGTCTGTCTCGACCCAAAGGTGGACCAGAATTTTATCCGAGCGCGCCAGTACAACTTTCGCACATTGCGCTCGTGCGGAGCCAGAACAGGGCCGCCTGAGCGGAGGGGAAAACAGGGGGTGAGGATGGGGAGGACCGGTGGAGCAGGCGCACGGGTCGGGAGCCCCGCAGCGCTCAAGGAAACGATCCTGGCCAACGATCGCCAAAGCTCAAGGAAGAGATCAAAGTCGACCTCCACCAGCGCCTGCGAGATCAATGGAGACACTCGCAGCAACCCAAACCCTCCCCGCTTCCTCGCGCGTCCCTACCCCCCGCTCAAAGCGGCAGTCACGGCATCGTTCACAACGCGCGCTGCCTCCTCGCAATACGCGCCACAAACAGAGATTGCCTCAAGAACCAACCCGCTGTACCTGCGGGGTTAGGAGTGGGAGTGATCGAGCTCGGGAGGTAAGCCGCGGGTGACTGAGAAGGCATCCGATGGCGAGTACACGCGCGGTTTGGCATCCCGCCCGTGCCCCTTTCCGCGGCGCACTTTCAAGATCAACAACCCTCGCGGGCGCGCTCCTTGCCGGGGAACCAGGGCGTGGAGAGTACCTGCGCGGCCCCCGCGGGGACGGGGAGAGGGTGCCGAGGAGACGATCGGGCAACGAGGGCGGGGAGGAGAAGGATGACGAGGGAGAAAAAGTGATGGTGGAGAAGAGAAGGGAGAAAGGGGCCGGAAGATTGGAAGGAGAGAGGAGAGAGAGGGGTGGCCGAAGAGGCCAATGACAATGAGGAATTGCCCTCCGTTTCTGTGTCGGCGCGGCGTCAAGGTCCCCACACAAAAACGTCAAACGGCGCAACCGCGAAGGCCTGGCAGCGGCAGGCACCTGGACAACCCACAATAATGGGCACCTTCGGATTCCAATTGCCGTCCCGCTCATCTGCGTACTACGTCCCGGAACTTGTCCTGCGGCTCTTGTGTTACGCATGGTGAAGCAATAGACTGCGAGGCCGTACTTCATCAATCTGGGGTTGACTAGGCTCTCACGCTCTATCTGCTTGATCTCGAAGCCGGCAGCATTCGCGATCTTCGCCAAGTCCCCGCGCACGCGTGTCCTGCAGCTGGTCCTCCAGCAGGATGCGACACACGTAGAGGCAATAGTTCGCGAGGCCGTCCTCTGCCTTGTGCTGATCGCCCTCATGCTTGTCCTGCGGTTTGGCAGCCAGCTGCGTGATGCGCATGGTGCGGCAGTAATCTGCGAGACCTTACTTGATCCATTGTTTTGAAAGGGAAGATGGGAGCGGACAACATGCTTCCACAACTGGCGCCAAAACGTGGATGCTGCCACGCGCCGAAGGCAAACTTAACCGGCATCGAGGTGAGGCCCGGCGAAGTACGACACGAGCGAGGTTGCGTTTGAAAACTACTCTTCTTCACCAAGCGTGTGGGACAAATACCTGCCAACGATTATGAGAATGCGCAATGACAGCGGGCGTCAAGCTCGGGCCAACTGACGGACGCGGTCAAGTTCGACTCCCCTCGGACCGTCCTCCGCGCTCTGGTGGCAAACTAAACTCGATGCCGCGGCGTTCTACACACCTACAGCGCGAGCTACCGCAATGCCAGGCAAACCTTGGACGCCACACAAAACGGCCTGCAATAGGCAAACTCGTGCAAAGTACTTGTGCATGGGCGGTTATAATAAAACACTACAAACTACCCTGTGACAATTGTTGCCCTAGCATTTCCGCGCATGGGGATAGGAAGAAACGGAGGAGGGTTGAAGGGACAGGGGCAAAAACAGGAGGGAATGAGGAGGGAGGGAACACCAGCGTCCAACACTCACGCGCGCGCGCGCCTAGGCCGTCCTTGGAAGAAGGTAACCGCGCAGAAAGACTCCGAGATGAGCGGCGCGAGCTCGCATGCGAGGATCGGCGCCGCAATGGCGGCTGGCATGGCGAAAACCAAAAGGCAGCTTCTGGAACGAGTATGCGCCGGTACAAAGGGCAACCACAAAACGGGGGCGAGAGAGGGGAGGCACATTCACATGGTCGAACAGACGCGACGACAGCGACGACCTCAACGACGGCGGCCTCGGCGACGACAACAACGGCGACCTCAAGGGCGACGACGGCGACGACGACCACCCCCCCGGCGGGGCGGGCGGCGCCTCGCTCCCGAGGCTGCCCGTGAACAGCCGCCTCGGGAGGGGGTGATGGCCCGTCCTCGCCGCTGTCCTCGTCGCCGAGGTCGTCGTCGCCCCTCAGACAGCCGTCGTCGTGCGGCATCTCTGAACCCTGATGTGCGCGGCATCTCTTAACCCAGAATTGCGAGAATGTCTCTGGCGAGACTGGCTGGACCGCCTCGCGCGCTGGATCTCCGAGCCCAAATGTTTCTATCGAAACGGACTGGACCACCATTCGCACTGCATCTCCTAGCCCAGGGATGCGGGGACGCTGGCAGATCCGAGCCCAGAATTGCGAGCATGCGTCAAGCCATACTGGCCAGTCTCAGTTCAGGGCATCTCCGAAACCAGAAATGCGAGGACATCTCAGGCGAAACTGGCCGGACCACCACCGGGGATGGGATCCGTTCCCGCAAAACCCGTCCCCCCGGACCTGGATGAGGTGGGCGGCGGCGGGTATTTAGAGCGTCCAAGATGGCCTCGACGAGAACGCCCAAACCAGTGGTTTTACTGCGGATTTGGTGCAAGTTCTGCCTGCTCGGAAGGATCCTAGTTGAGTAACCCCCCTTCCTGTGATCGAGCTCCTTCAGGATGGCTCCAAGATGGCCGCCGAGGTTCCCAAGAGCGCCCCATGAGGGCTCCAAGAGGCCCCCAAGAGACCCCAAGATGCACCAAGATACTACCCCAATGCACCCACGATGCCTCATCTGCCGAATCCTCCTCCTCCCCCTCTCCTTTCTCCCTCTTCCCTCCCCCCCTGCCCATGCCGACGTTGCGCGCGCCTCCCCCCCCCGCCTCCTCCTCCTCCCCCCCTCCCCCTCCCCCTCCCCCCCCCTCCCCCTCCTCCTCCTCCTCCTCCTCCTCCTCCTCCTCCTCCTCCTCCTCCTCCTCCTCCTCCTCCTCCTCCTCCTCCTCCTCTGTTTCCTCCTCCATCCTCCCCCTCTTTGGATATGACGGCTTCCTGGCCTTTAGTCCACTACGTGCTCCCGCACAGGCCTGATCAGGGCAACTCGCCTTGGCATCGTTTTTGGATAGGCTACTGGGGTTATGCAAAACGTCTCGAATCCAAAAAAGTATATGCCGAAGTTTGTATACACGTATGCGTACGGATGTGTACTCATATACGGATGTTTTAGAGCGCCTGGTAGCCTTCGGGGCCAGGTCACCAAACATTCGCGCATCGCGCGCAACGGTGCGCGTCGCACAATCATACTCGCGCAATGGCACCCTCGCCGCGCCCTCCCTGGAATAATGAATCTATCCAATCCCGGCCGCGACGCGCGGACCGCGTGTACCTTCGCGCCCGCAGGGGTGACCAGAGGGGCCCTCCTGGGACCGTCTTCGGGTCAGATGCTCGCCGGGGGCAATGGCCATTGTGGGCAGGCTCGAGACGTGGAGGGTGTTGGGGTGATCGGGGTCACTTGGGGCACCGTTGGCCCTCGCTGGGTATTCAAAAGTGACAGGGTTTCAACACCCAACACAACGCAAACATAGACAACAACAAATGTTGAATTCGACAGTATGGTGTTCGCCCCACGCCTGCCCGTATCGTGTCATCCGACGGCCTTTTTCCCCAAACCCGCACCCACCAACCTGAATCCACATGGCGTGTAGATGGGGGTTATGTCAAGATCGGACAAGGAATGCCACGACTCGATGAAGCGTCCAATAAGGCCCGAGACGGCAAGCGAGAAGCCAATACTGCTCAAAATGAACCCATCATGCTTCCAAGTTGCACCAAGCAAAGACGGCCACATGGAGGCTCCCAACCCGGCCGCCGATGCCAACATCAACCAGTAACCTTCGAGTGAAATGAATTTGGCCGCCTCGCCATCTCGCGTCCGATGTGACGTTGTCGACCTGGACATTGTCCCAAGATCAGCCACAAATTCAATAAGAAGGGCACACACGAGCATCAATACGCCCCCCAACGGTGCTCCAAGAAGACCTAAGGAAACGACGGGTAAATGTGTCGGGCCCGACGGGAGTACGAACATGGGCAGCTAAACGCCGCTGCTTGATTGAACGATAGCGCCCTGGACCGCCACGGGAGAGCCCCGAAGGCCCCAACAAGTGACCCCGACCCCGAATGAGCCCACAGGTGGCCCTACCAGACGCCACGAGGCCTCCAACATAGTCACGAGAAGGCCCCCACGTTGCCTAAATGAGCCACCGCGGGGCTCTCAGATAGGGATGGTCGCGAAAAAACGTACCGTGCACTCCTTGGTATGTTAAAGGTGCTCTCCGTGTTCAACTGCTTCTGGCTACACCTCCCTGACCAAGGCAACTCACCCGGGCATTACTTCTGGATGGGCTGGTGGAACGATGCGGAACGAATCAGAGGCAGCAGCGTGGAATGGGGATTCCCCGCTGCAATGTCCCGGCGGAAAACCGCGGGTCACGCCCGGAGACCGCGAGGAGGACATCCACCTCAACGCCCATATCCTCCTTGACGTCCACCACCTCATTCTCCTCCGTCCTTCGCAACAAGCACCTGCTCGTGCACCTTCTCATGCAGCACCACCCTGGCATCCCCCTCCCCATCGTCCTCTTCCTCCTCCTGGCCATCCTGGTCCTCCTCCTCCGCCTCCTCCTGTTCGTCCTCCTCCTCCTCGTCCTGCTGTTCCTCCTCCTCCTCCTCCCTTACCTCTTCCTCGTCATCCTCCCTCTCCTCCTCCACCTGCTCCTGCACCAGATCATCCTTCTCCTTCGACTGTTCCCTGTCATCTTCTCCCTCGTCCTGCCCGCGGGCGGGCTGAAATGTGTCCCCCAGGTGCGGTTGCGGTTGCGCGCCGGCGGGCGGGTTGAAATGTGTCGCCCAGGTGCGGTTGCGGTTGCGCGCCCGCGGGCGGGTCGAAATGTGTCGCCCAGTTGCGGTTGCGGTTGCGCGCCCGCGGGCGGGTTGAAATGTGTCGCGGTTGCGCGCCCGCGGGCGGGTTGAAATGTGTCGCCCAGTTGTGGTTGCGGTTGCGCGCTTGCGGGCGGGTTGAAATGTGTCGCCCAGTTGCGGTTTCAGTTGCGCGCGCGGGCGGGTTGAAATGTGTCGCCCAGTTGCGGTTGCGGTTGCGCGCCCGCGGGCGGGTTGAAATGTGTTGTCGCCCAGTTGCGGTTGCGCGCCCGCGGGCGGGTTGAAATGTGTCGCCCAAGTGCGGTTGCGGTTGCGCGCCCGCGGGCAGGTTGAAATGTATCGCCCGGTTGCGGTTGCTGTTGCGCGCCAGCGGACGAGTCGAAATGTGTCGCCCAGTAGCGGTTGCGCGCCCGCGGGCGGGTTGAAATGTGTTGTTCAAGGTGCCCTCCTGACGTTCAGTCAGTCGATCAGTCAGTCAGTCAGTCAGTCAGTCAGTCAGTCAAACAGTCAGTCAGTCAGTCACCGGCGGGCACGGAATTTCACCCGGCTCCGCCGGGAAAACGAACTCGTTCAACGCATGGGGGTCGTCCCGCTTCGCTAGACACTGGGCAACTGCGCGTCGACTTTGCAACGGATTGGTCCTCCACTGGCTTGCGAGATCTGGGGCATAGACCTATCGAAGCAGCCTGTATCATCTCGGGCGACATCAACGGCAAATACGAAGCGCAAACACACGAATAGGGTCGCGGAAGCCGTGCCATGTTTTGGACATCATTTGGTTCAAGTGCGTCAGGCACGTGACAACGGCCCGTAAATGGCACTCGTTGCAGACAACGCGGATCACATGAAAGGCGCAAAGAAAGCTTATCACAAGCGCAAGCACTACAGAGCTAGGTAGATCTACAATTCAGATCATGAGCTTTACGGGTAACAGGCGCCAAGACACAGAGAACACCCGTGCCCGCCTGCTCCTGCTCATTCTCCTCCTCCACCCTCCTCCACAGAACTCAAATTTCGTGACTTAGTTCTCAGCGTGGTCCCGCAGAAGCCTGGATCTCTTGGCCGGGACAACTATTCAATCCCGAGTCGCTTTTGACGGTGCCAGGGCTCCGTCCTTATCCCGCCTCCAACGCCCGCCTCCCCCTCTGCCCGCCACACAACACTATACAGTGCAGTTACATCGCCCTGCGCCGCTTGCCGCTGGCGCCCCTTTCCCGCTCGCGCATGTCTTAGATCTGCGCTGGGCTCCCCTGGCGACGTCTTCGGCCCTGGGACACACACAAATAAATCGACACAACTAACAGGATTCCCCATAGTTTCACATATTCTCTTTGTTTTTGTCCTCTCAATGACTTCCCATGCTTTCCCTCTTTTCAAGGGAATCGACGATTAAGTGCGTCTGTGTGTTCATTTTTCCCCCCGGACTGTCCACCCGCTGCTGCCACTGCCTCGTCGCCCCGCCCACTTCCACTGCCCATCTGCCCCCGCCGCTGGCCTGTCGCACGGCACACCTGCCCGCCAGCCGCGAAGGCTGGCTCGGCCTCCCTTGCCCGCCTGCCGACCTCACTCGCCGGCCCCCCGCTGGTGGCCTGATGCAGCGAGCGCTGACGATGTGGCTCGCACGCGCTGCGGGTAAGCGGACCTGGCAGGGCACTCGGTCGCGAGCTTCCCCCCAAAATCGCCGCTGCCGAGCACCCTGACACTCACACCTCCTGTCGGGACACGAACTGGTTTCCCTTGATCCCCGTCCTCCGTCCTGCTCACCCAGCAGCACCAGGCCTCCTCTGCCGCAAACCATCGCCCCCTTCCCGCTTCTCGCCCCTCCCTGAACGCCACGAGTTGTTTCGTGACATGGGCCCCCGGGGCTCCTGAACCCCAGAGGCTCCTGAAGGCACCCAGATGCCCTGACGCGGCATGACATGCTTCAGAACCCTGGAGCGCAAAACCTCGACCCCGACTACCACAACCACGATGACCGCGACCACGAGCACGATCACAACAACCACAGCGACGGCAATGATGACGACGACGACGACGACGACGACGACGACGACGGAGGCGGCGGCGGCAACTGCGGCGCAGATGACGACGACGGGGGCGGCGGCGGCAATTGCGGCGCAGACGACGACGACCACGGCGCCGACGCCAGCGAGCACGACGACCACGACGACGACGACGACGATGGCGACGAATGCGGCGAGGACGACGACAACGACGTGCCACAGCTGGCGACCCAGGGAGCCGCGCCACCGGCCGACACCCAATAACACGCGACGTTCGCCCCCTCGCCGGCTGGCCGCGGGCGGAGCAGGCGGGGCAGGGAAAGACGGGTGGGGCAGAAGCCGGGGAGGAGAGGGAGATAATTAGGGTGGGGGGGGGAGGTGGAGGGGGGTGGAGAGGGAGGGGAGGGAGGGAGGAAGGGAGGAGAGAGAAGGACAGAGGGAAGCGACAGACAAGATGATCAAGATTCCTCGGGCCCTGCCTCTACCGTGCAAGGAGGACCTGTCAAGGCTCGGGGGCCCTCACCCCAGAGGCCTCCCCGTGGTCGGGTGCTGGCCCTTCCACAAACGATTGAACGAGAACTGGCTCGGTGGGAAGAGGGCGATGAAGATCATGGGGGTGAGAGGCAGCAGACTATCCTGTGCAGTGGCTCGGTGGGAAGAGGGCGTGGAGGATGACGGGGATGAGAGGATGCCACGAGCGCTGACGAGGAGACGCGGTGTCCCACCTGCAAGCCTGCTGGAACTCTCTCGAGGAACGAGAGGATCAGGAGGGGGGGAGGCGGGAGAGAGAGGATGGAGGAGGAGGAGGCGCTCCGCACAGCCCCTGGAACACTGGTCGCAAAAGAAACACTTCTGAGGGGGTGATACCTCGGGGATCGATGCCTCCAGTGTTGAGTGCGCCAAGCAGGCCCATGAGGCCTCCGAGAAACCCGAACCCTCCGAATTGGGACCCAAGAAGGAAAAGGATGAGGAGGACGGGGATGAGAAGCAGGAGATGCAGGAGGACGAGAAATAGGAAGGCGAAGGAGGAGGAGGAGGAGGAGGAGAAGGAGGAGGAGGAGGAGAAGGAGGAGGAGCCTGCGCCTCACTCTTCGCCTCCCCCTCCTCTGCCACCTCTTCCTGCCCTGGTCCCTCCTCCAGGGGCGTCCAGCGCCTATCCGATGAATGTGCGCGGACCTCCGAATGGTTGTGTACGCATGCTTATCTCATTCGATTATCCTCTCTCGCCCCCTCGCCTGCGGCCTCCTCCATGCCTTCCCCCTCGGGGCGAAGGAAAGTGCCAGAGAGGCGCCCCGAGGACGCCTAGCCGTCGCCGTCATCGTCCCCGCCGCCGCCGCCGCCGTCGCCGCCGTCGTCGTCGTCGTCGTCGTCCTCGTCGTCGTCGTCGTCGTCGTGGTCGTCGTTGTGGTCGTCGTCGATGTCGTCGCTGTCGTCGTCGCCAACGTTGTCGTCGTCGTCGTCGTCGACGCCGTCGTCGTCGTTGCCAGGTCGTCGTCGATGTCGTCGTCGTCGTCGTTGTGGTGGTCGTCGTCGTCGTCGTGGCCCTCATGGTCGGCCCCTCGGCGCGCGCAGCCTGCCCGCGCCGCTCCACGTCGTACTCCTCCCCCCGCCGCGGCCGCGGCCCCAGCCCCACCCCCCGCCGTCGCCCGCCGAACTGCCGAAGGGCTGGGGTGGAGAGGCGGAAGGGAAGGGGGCGGGGAGAGGAGGGGAGGGAGGGATGGTCAAGAGGCAACTGTTGTGAGGTCATCGCCAGAAGGATTAACGGCCCCTAGCCCCGATTAAGGGGCCACTTCGCTGCATGAGGCCGGACAAAGCCCTAGATTGAGCGGGACTTAGCGGGATTAATCCAGATTATGGTGAAGATTTACATGAAAACTTAGGTGAATATTGTTGCTATGGCTTATCGGGTCGGGCGAAAGGGGGGGATAGCAAAGGGGGGGTTTGAGAATCAGCTCACGTAGCTGATTTTCCCGGCGCCTCCTGGCGCCGGAGGCGGCTAGGTATCGGGGAATGGGCTCCTCGGTGAGGCCGAAACCAGCTGCATGCAGCAAATTTCGTAACCCCCCCTTTCCCAATCCCCCCCTTTCGCCCGACCCGATCTTAGACAGTGAGAGCGCGAGTGGCGACATGGGATGGGATTATGGCACTGATTTATAGTAGGTCTCCGAGAGGCCTGGGCCGGGCAGGCCTTCCTAGCTGTTTGCGGAACTTCCTGAAAGGGTTGCCGTCAAATGTTTCACCGCGGGAGCTGGCTCGGTGGCAACTCATGGGAGCCTCCCATACCATCTTGTCGGCTCTTGCGAATCGACGCTAATCGACGCTAAATCGACGCTAACCGACGCTAACTGACGCTAAATCGGCGTTCTCTCATCGACCCCCAGACGCTAATCGACGCTAACCGACGCTAAAGACGGAATTGAAAGGGTACACCAGGCTCCCATGACTTGCTACCGGGATGGCTGGGGGCGGAACTTCTGGTACTTGGAGGGGGGGAGGGGAGGGGAGGAGGGAGGAAGCGGGGAGGAATGCACAATAACAAAATGAGATCGCAACTGCGGATCGAGTTCGATCCATTCAAGCACGCGCTGCTGTGCACAGAACCCTGGGTCAAACAAACTACGTACAACATGCACGCATCAACCGGCTCAAATCTAATGCCAAGGCAAGACGCGCATGCAATCTCAATATGCAATAGCACTGCACGAGCATGCAACACAATGATCAGTGGCACACCTCGGTGTGACGCCCCAGGATGCAAGCAGGAGTCGAACAACAACCTGCATCCGAGTCACGTTCTGGAACAGTGCAAGGCTTCCGGTTGAGCCCCGCCGTGCTGCTAAGGGCTCCGAAGTTCACACATCGCGCTGCGCGAAGCCCGAGGCGCGACTAGCTTCGCGCTCTGGCGCCACCCCTCCGAGAAAAATGGAACCGAGCAAAGAAGGAAGGAGGAGAAGCGGGAAATTCGCGGTGGACTACCTGCACGACCCAGCGGGTGAGCTTGGCGACGTATCACCGATCTGACGCCCAATGCATCACGATCTGAAGTGCTGTGCAATCCCGGCGCCCACTCGCCCTTCCGGGGCGTTCGGCAGCGGGTCGGGTTCTGGCTTGTCGCTGACAGCCTGCTGCAGGGATCACGAAGAAGAATAATAATGCTAAACAAAACGTACTACGAAGAAGAAAACAAATCAACTCACTTGCAACGAAGACGAATCCACTAAGAGAACTTGCAAATCAAATTGTCGCAATGCTCACCGTGGGCATTCCTATCCAAGCAGGGGTAGGAGGGAACGAACGGAGAAAAAAGCAACGGCGGAAAGACAATGTTTCGCAGGTCCGTGCGGACATCTAGGATCGGCACTGGACTCCACTCCCTGGCACGCGGAGCGCGCAAACGGCGGCGCCCGAGGAGCCGTCAGGGGGCCCAGTGTCGATCCAGGAAATCCGCGCAGACCTCAGGAAGTGTATGTTTCTGCAGGTTATGCTCCTTCGAAAAAGGGAGGGGGAGAGGGAGGGAGGGGAACGCAGGAGGGCGGTTGCAGGAAAACGCAGGAGGGAAACAGTGAGGCCCCGAGAAGACGGCTCTTTGTGAGAATATCGAGCACGGATCAACCAACTTGCGGGATGGCGCATCTCGTGATCGCCCTGTCACGAGCCGGCCATGTGGCCTCGGGGGGCCCGAGCACACCTCCATAAAGGAGCACCCATCCTGGAAGGGAAGACGTGAGCAAGCACGCAAGAGTCTCTGATGGCTTGGCGACATTTTCTCAAATCGACTTGCGGGGGTCAAGCCAGGTAAATCGAGGCAACACCACATGCGTCTAGGATAGTAAATCTACGTGGATGCAGAGTTCTAAAACATTTGGAGCGAACGCTGAAATATACAGCGCGAGCTGAAGGATAGCAGAAGCCGATCAGCCCTTGACGAGGGAGGAGGGGATCCAGACATCGGACGTCGCGATTTCGATCACAACATGGATCCCCTGGAGGTCTGCTGCATCCCTCCTCTCAACGGGAGGGGAAGAGGCCGCCGCCACACTCTAGGACCGCCTTCGCGTGAGGCCCCCTGGTGTCCTTGGGCAACACGCACGCGCAGTCGCGCGTTCCTAAAAAAGGCGCGGGGGATTCGGCCATCGTGCTATCATTGGAACGTTGAGCAACGAACGAAGGTGTTGTTGCGGCTACGGTGCGATTCGGCGACAAATAGGTTCCCCAACCCCTCTTGTTGTGAAAAGTGACGACGTGTTTTTTTTGCCGTTTCCAGCCTCCAGGGACCCTCACCAAATTCGGGAACAAACAACAAAGACTCGGGTCGAGAAGCGAGTACGGGGAAATGGAAAGACGGGATGAGGCTGGAAGAGGATGACGATAACGATGACAAAGACATGTAGGAGGGGGCGAACGTCGCGGACAAGTGTCTGTCAGAGACACTGGTGCTTGCAACAATGTCTTTGCAAGCGACGCGACGTCTCGTGAACCTGCGGGGTCACGAGACCCCTCTTCGTCAATATGGTCCCAAGAGGATCCCTCGAAGGGCTCCGAGATATAGGACACCGACAGTTTCCCATAATGGCGAAGGAGGGCCACGATATGCCAAGAGGCATTCAAGAAACTCCTAGAGCAAACTATACGCGAAGGTATCGAAGATATGGCCACCTTCTTCCTCCCTCATTCTCAAGTTCCGCATCTTCCTCCTCCCGCCTCCTCATCCTCGTCATCTCCCTCATCCGATCACGCTTTCTGCTTCTCTCAACTAAGGTTAAGAAGAAATTGAGTGCTGAACGTCATCCGTCACAAGAATGTTCCCTATGCTCGCCCTAATCCCTCCTCGTACTTCTCCCCCTTACCTCTCTTAACACAATCCCTCCGAAGAACCGCGAGGGCACATGCCGGTTCACACCTAGGTCTGCGTAGGTCAATCCCGAATTTCGATTGGACGGGTGCAATAGACCGTTGTGTCTATCTCTTCCCACCCCTCTTTTTGCACCTCGCGCGCCCGACCAAGAGGCTTCTGCGTATTTGGCGTAGCCATCATCAAGGCAGGCCCCTGCCTTGACGCGCGCAGCACTGCGACCGCGCGGCGCAGTCGAAAGCGAAGCCGAGCACACCGCCTCTGCGGCACGCTCGGGCCCCACCCGCCACGAGTATACAGGCGCCACCTCCCACGAGACACGTTACTGGGAGATGGCAGAAATACGCCACACGCACTCAAGCTTAATTCGTGAAAAGACCTCCTCCGCCTATGCCAGCGCCTACGCACTGTCTGAACCACAGGCAGACTAGGCAACGCACATGGCGCCCTTGCACCGAGGGCCATGGTCGAAGTCAAGCTCGATACTCGACCCGCGAAACACTGGGCCACTCGGGTCTACGCACAGAGCGCCCCAACATCTCAGCACGACGGAGTAGAGAAAATCCATTCAGTCCTGGCTACGTCGCCCTGGTCGTCCTCGTCGCTTCGGTGGTACTCTATCTTGAAGAATCTCGATGCCCTGAGCCTCTGGGGCAACGTGGGTACCAGCTTGCCTGCGGCGACGAACTGCTCCAGCAGGCTGGTGGCTACTGTTGGCGCGTAGACCGCCATCGCCCTCTTCTGCGCCCCCTCTTTGATCTGCAACAAGGGCGCGTTGCGGGACGCCGTCAACACGGCCAGGCTCCCCAGCAGATGCAGTATGCCCGAGAACAGGGCCGCTGGCTTTTTGCCGAACGTGTTGCCCTTGAACTCCTCCCCCTTGTCCTTTGCGGCGAGGCGTGCCACCGCGCCCGACATGCCGCGCTGCTCGATGGCCCCCTCCATCACCTTGAGAAACACGTTTCCTGGCGGGACCTCGGGCACGGGGATCTGGGCCATGCTCTGGATCGCGCGCCTCGCTTCGAGCTGGGGGGTCCACGTGGCCATCGCCTCCATCAGCTGGGGCCCCTGCGCGCACTTCTTGCCTGCCACGACCGCGTCCTGGCCCCTGTCCTTGCTGCCCTCGCCCTCGACCGCGCCCGCGACCTCGCCCTCGCCCATGCCCCCGCCCTTCTTCACGTCCTTCTGCTTGCGGCCTGAGGGGTCGCCTCCCGCCTTCCGAGTCGGTCGGCCAGGAGACCCGAACATTGACGTCGGCGGGCGCGGGGGGCTCAGGCGCAGGAGGAGGTGGCACTGGTGGACCGTCTGAGAAAATGGGCAACGGGGAAAACGGAAATCCTTGACACGGGAGTCGCGCCTGGTGAACTTACTCTGGCAATGCGGGCATTCAGTAACACCTTTAGGAATGGTATCGAACGCCTGATGCGCTCTTGCTTGATGCATGCGTAACACACGCGGACCTGCACACGTAAGACAGCATTGAGGACACATAATTTTCTCGACATCGGCATACTCGGTCGGAGCAGCACGAAAGGACAAGAGAGCAGAGAACGTGGACCGAGGCTCGGTAGCAAGCAACTCCAACCACGGCTTCGAAACGAACGCAGACCCAGCCTCAACACCACGCGTTCGAGCTCAAGCGCGAGCTTCCTCACGAGTGCCCTCGAACACCTGTTGAAGATCGTGATGAAGTCGGAGCTGTCGCGGGGCAAAGTCCTCGCGATCGCCCTCGGACGAGAAACCCCCAAAGACAACAGCGCGCGCAGCAACCGCGGGATCATCAACGCGTGCGCGGAGCAGGGGATCGCCATCATCATCGTGATAAGTTGGAGCAACACCTTTCTGCAGCAACAAACACCGTCGGACAAGAAGGGTAGACTCAACGCTATGCACACTACGCTGCTCGCGAAGGCCATCAGAAGAAACTCTAGATATATGAACTGGTAGTCTAGCAATGTGTCGTAGACAACGTATCTGGAAACGCTCGAGCTTCTTGAGGCCTCCAGGACTAATGCGGCGCCCCTCCAGGGCGCAACCCACAGACGACCCTTCAGTTTGAGGGGGGGGGGGGGGGGGGGGGGGACTTGGAGCGCCAAAGCCCAACCTCGGCCAGGTCGCCTCCCACGATATTGATCATGGAACCCAGGTACTTAGCATAAGTAGTGGCCTTAATAAAGGACCTCTGGCGCACCTGGGCAATGCCCGCGGAGAACAAGACGATACCTTCCCAGGCGAATCTGCTTGTTCAAGGCCCTAGACCCCGCTCCAAAGGCTCCGATGGCCACCTCGAGCTTGGACAAATTCACCCCGAACCCAGACTCCGCCAAGATCGCACCAATGTTCGCCAGGAAAGGGGTGATCGCGTCAGCGTCGGCGAACAACTCCATTGCGCTAAGGTCGTCCATAAAGACCGTCTCACCCAGGGACAGTTGTTCAGGGAAAGTAGCATCCGACCCCAAGAGACTTCCGAGCGTGGTTTTAAACGTCACCATCACAGCACGATCGCCTCTCTCGCGCTGAATCGTGCGGATGGTGAGATCGCACAATAAAATGAAACACGACGGGCCTTCGCAAGAACCCTGTCGCACCCCAAGGTGACTGCGCAAACGACGAACGACGCGGCCTGTTTTCGCATCTTTAACCAAGATACATGCTCAGTCATGGATGTCCTCCAGAAACAGCACAAAGTCTTCACGAAGAAAGAGAGCACGCATAGCCTCCCAGAGCTTACAGCGGTCGATCTTGTCAAAGGCTTTGGACAAGTCGAAGAGGCCTTGAATCAAATGAATAGCGGTTGGTCGTGCCGCTTGCACTTGGCGTTCGTAGCCGCAACAGCTGCAGCTCCCTCAATGATCTCCTTAACCATCGCAATGGCATCTCGTGTACCTCGATGGGGAAGACCACCGAATTGTGTACGACTAATGTGCTGGGCGGTCGCGACCTTTGAATCGCCTAGGGACTCTTTCATCAACTTCTTCCCCCAGTGACTGGGCATACTCAATGCACGATAATGCTCGCCAGCATCTGAGCCATCACCTTTGCCAGGCTTGCGCAGGTACACGGCCTCCCCGTCCTTGAAAGACAACGGGGCCTGGCCGACGGAAATCAAGCAGGTGCCGACAAGGGCCAGCGGGGGAGCAATCTCATTGCGGGGTAACTTGTAGGGCTCGGCCACCGCTCCCCTGAACAACTTGGTCTGGGAAGGCGCCAAAAAGGCAAGACCAGCCTTGAAGTTCGGCATCGTGGAAATCATGTCCGCGGCCATAGATT